GTGAGGAGTGTTGCTTCATTCAACTTGTGTCGTAAGTATTTCCGACGTTCTTTTATCTCAACTATTAATTCGTGCAATGGACTCTTAGCTTTTGTGGTCACCAAAAACACAAAGAGCTGGCTTAACTCGAATACAGTCGTCATATTAAATCCCATGACGAATGAGTACTTTGAACTTCCCAAGGACGAATTCAAAGGGAATTGGCTTACGTGCTCCTATGGATTTGGATTTTGTCCTAAAACAAAGCACTACAAAGTAGTAAGAAACTCCACCATCGAGGATAGAAACTCCACCATCGAGGATAGATACTCCACCGTCAACTACAAATCAGAGATTTTTTCTTTTGGGACCCGGCAGGAATGGACGCGTATTGAGTCACCGTCTTGTTCTTTTAATGGATGTCATGGTGTTTACTTGAATGGAGGGTTGCATTGGATTGGACAAGATGATCTTTATCAAGATGTTATTTATCGTCTAAATATGGAAGATGAGAAGTACAAGCACATTCCTTTTCCTAATGATGACGGTTATTTCCCTTGTATTGGAGTATTTAATGGTGCTCTTCATCTAACCCTTTCTATGGAGGGGCACGAGTATACGATGTGGAAGATGAAAGAAGATGGTTCGTGGAGTAAAGCATTTAGTGTCATCGTACCAGATGTGAGCAAAAATATTTTTTCTTTTTCAAAATCAACCGTGGAACAGGTTAAAATATGTAAAGATGGAAAGATCTTTTGTGTTTGGGCGGGAGTTGAATTAGTGTTGTATGATCCGAAGACCGAGAAGATGAAGAAGTTGATGGATGATACAATTGTGAGAGATTTTTCGATTCACAACATCGACTGCTTTAATTTTAATGCTCTTTCCGATATTTTGACTGGAAAAATAGGTAAAATTTTGTTTTAAATATGAGTTTTAATAAGTTTAGAGCTAGTTTTTATTTATTATTTATTATTTATTATTTATTTTTATTTAGAGGGGTGAGGGTACTAATAAATTAATTTATGAATAGTTTAATTTATTTTATTTTATGAAAATTTGATTAGGAAATACACATATTTAAGTTTTTATTTTTATTTTTATTAAAATTAGATAAATAAACCCTAGGCCTATTATTAATAATATATTTATTAATAAATAAAAAAATAAATTAGTTTAATTATTTTAATAATTTAATATAATAAAAATAAAATAATTAACCACCATTAATTATTTACCATTAAACCATAATAAAAATATTATAAATATTTGTGAAATTTTGATATAAATTATTTGACCATCTTATTTATTTTATTGTTAAATATCTTAAATAAAATATTTAAAATTAAATTAAAGATAAAAGAATATGGAGATTAGATTTTCAAAATTTTAAAAAAATAAGAAGTAAATTTTTTATTAAAACTAAAATAAATTTTAACCAAATTAAAATGGAAAACAAGTCTAAGGATTTGGAGTTTTATAATTTATAAAAAAATCAAATTTTAGATTTTTATTTATTTTTAATTGGATAACAATTAAAGATTTTAAGTTATTATTTTAATTTTTATATATTTTATAATTTTTATTAAGTAAGTGTCAAGACCCGATTTTAGAGGTTTTGAAAAACCCAACCATGACTAAAAAGACGAAATAAAAAACAAACAAAAAAGAAAATAAAATAAAATAAAAGAAAAGTAAAGTAAAAGGTAAAAATACTATTTAATTAAAACAAAATAGAGAAAAGTTTTGTTTCAAATTAATAGAAAGGAATTAAGTATAAAATGAAATACAAAAGACTCTATAAGACAGACAAGGGACTGATGCTCCGGAACGACACCCCTCTGTGACAGTGCAGCTCTCGAACACCTCCCCACTTCAACCGGTACATGAAAAAAAGAAGGGAAGACGGGGTGAATATAAAAATATACTCAGTAAGCAACCTACTTGTAGGCTCCTAATCGCATCCAAGTTTAGGAGAGAACCACTAACTATACTCTAGACCCTAGAGTCTCAATACTCTCAATACATAGATCGGGGTGGAAGGACTTAACCTTTGAAGCGGTATTTCAGCGTTTGAGGATGAGGTGCTCCCTCATAACTACATGTACCCTTCGTACAACCTAGCTAGAATTAGTCACTGCATGATCAACGTCCTTCCACAGGACGGACCCATCATGCAGGCGACCTTGATCCACTCGCGTGATCAACATCTTACCATAAGACGGATCCCCATGCAGAGTAGTCGATCTACCACTGAGTAGCACTTCCCTAACAGGTGTCTCACCAAGCTCAACAGTACCACGCCGAAGTAGGAAGGAAAGAGTAACACCTCCCTAATTGGTGTCTCGCCCAGCTCAACGGTACCACACCAAAGTAGGAAGGGAAGAGTAACATCTCCCTAACTGGCGTCTCGCCTATCTCAACGATACCACATCGGAGTAGGAAGGGGAGGGTAACATCTCCCTAACTGGCGTCTCGCCTAGCTCAACAGTACCACACTAGAGTAGGAAGGGAAGCGGGGCATAATCAATCGCTAAACCAGATACCGTCGACTAAGAGGTCATCTCTCTACACCTCGGGGTCCTAATGTGGTCCTCTATATCTCAAGGGTAGTTAAAACTATTGAGTTAGGGGTCCTCACTCAATCAAGTCTTCCAAGTCCATAATAGTCCAGGGTTAAAGGGTCTCTCCCTCTAACCGTCTCTCACGACACCATGGACTATAACATCAGAAGGGTCCCCTAACTAAACCCAACTCAATCCCTACAAGAGTTCACCATAGGCGTAGCATAACACTACAGCTTATCAATCATATCATGTAACGATCCTAATATTTTATCTATTTAATCTAAGGTCATTACTATAATTTGAAATGCGGAACATACATTTAATGGGCCCTATTCATTAATGCGACTCGCACTCGCCTTTTATTACCTCAGAGAAAAAGATTACAAGGGAAAAAGGGAAACATTATAGAAAGAGGAAAATAACAAAACCCAAAATGAATGGTTTATTCTATCCTAAGGTTTATTATGCAAATACCTTTCATCCTATTCTAACCTATACTAATGATGCAACCAAATTCAGCCTAGACTACGAAATGGGAAAAAAACAACCAACTATCCTATGCATGTGCCACGATTCTGGGGTGTACGATGCCGTCGTCGTTGTCACATGGGTGCCTTGCCCTTATCTGCAAAAGTAAAGTAGCACGAGGCTTGAGTATTTCTAGAATACTCAGTAAGTGACCCCCTATCAGGGTTATGCGACAAACACATGCAATGAAATGATGGGACATATCGTTTCGTTTCGTTTTCTCTATGGTGTAATCCTAACAGGTAATCGTGGACGTGTACCATATACTCTACATGCAGCCCATACGTGCGAGTATGGGCTCACCAGCTAATTCGCTCACCGCTGGGCCACTGTCCCTAGCCGGTGGGCATGCTCTGGGAGCCCTTATACTGGGACCCGTTAAAACTAGAACCGTCACGGCAGCGCTATGCAAAGCATAACGATCGTTGTCCTGCCATTGGATGTACGCGTCCGTACCCTCGTGATGGGATAGGGGTATCCCACCAAATGCATGAGCATACAATATGCATGAGATCCCACCAGTCCTACAGCTATCATTAATGAACATAACCCCCTATCACGTTTTCATGCTTACATGTCATTCCCATTCTCATTTCTTTACATATCATACATACTCCTAACGGGTTTATGTTTCATGCAATTTACCTATTTCATGTCATACAATTCATGCAGTTACATTCAAATATTCATACAAACAAGCCATAATCGTTCAAGGACCACACATCGTTACATGCATTACACACCACATCAGACTAAAAGCATACATTCACGTTCACATAACTACGTACTTAAGCACAATAATCTAGCATATCATGCATCATATCATAAACAAGTCATAACGTAAACACTTCATAGTCATATCGCTCTCTAACTTACCATAGCCTTAACGTTCTTATACCTATCACGAACATATCATTACGTAACGTACCTTAGTCATATCATCACCAGAATGTATCCTAACGCCATCGTTCTATCAATCTATCACCCTTTCTACCCATAACCTAACCGTATTCTTTCATTAATCTCTCCTATCAATAGCACTCTGGTATGTAACCTAACCTTAACGTTTCATGAACGTATCTTACTTCTATCGTTACTGTAACAACCTAAAATAATGATAATATGTATTTTGTATGTATGCGTTGTGTGTTTGATAATAATAATAATAATAATAATAATAATAATAATAATAATAATAATAATAATAATAATAATAATAATAATAATAATAATAATAAAATAAATAAATAAATAAAAAAATAAATAAAAAATAAATAAATAAATAAATAAAAAACGAAAACGAAGCAGCTGCGTCAAGCAACTGCTGTAAAGGAGGATGAGGGGCGGCGGACGCGTAGATTGGAGGCGTGGGATGGATGAGAGGATGATTAGAGGAGGTGGAAGCGTATTAGGGCTGGATTACGCTTTAAAAAGGAAGAAAAACGAAGATTGGTGATTCGCGAAAAAACCCAGAAAACAGAGGAGGAAATTTTCTGAGAATTCGAGTTTTGGTTACTTAAAATTGGACATCAATCGAGGGTAAAGGAAGAGGGGTTGTTGCTGAGGAATCGTTTGAGGAAGGGGATACAGCCACGAGCTGAATCGGACGGTAATTCGAAGGTAACGAAAAACCCACATCACCGAACCTTTAAATCTCGATATCTTGATTCATACTGCATAATAAGTTATGAAATAAGGCTTGTTAGAACCGTAGTTAGAAGATCTATAAAGTTGTAGAAGAAATCAGAACGAAATTCGGGCTGTAGAGATGAAATTTTTGCTTCGGGACACAACGGGTATTAAAGGAAAAGATTGGGGAAAATTGCAGGGAGGAGAGGTTGAAGACGAGCGCGTGAAGGACACGCGAGGCGCGTGGGGAGGCCGCGAGTGGAAGCGCGACTGTGCGCGGGTCAGGCGCGTGAGAAACGAACCCCGACCTTGTGTTGGCGCGTGAGGGCGCGTGAGAAGGTATTTTGGCTCCCGGTTTGTCCCGTTCGACTCCTTTTGACCTGTCCTATCAAAATTGGTCTATA